TCATTGTTCAAACAATTCTGCAGACCAGCTTGTTACCCAGACGAGCATTACATCCCTACTTTCTTGAACATGTTTCACGGTTCAATGAACGCAAATAGAAGCGTGACATGGGTTGATTGGTCCATAGGCGGTCCGCATCCAGCTACATATGCTGCAGCTAATATCACAGAAGGGTTTCTCCAATCTATAAGGAAAAACGAGACGGATTGTCTTTACAATGAAGAGCCAACTTCGTTATGCTTCCTTTTTGCTCGGAAGTTCTCTCCTTCTGCCTTAGCTCCTCTTATGAATTTGAGCTCTACTGTCCTGGGGTTTTGAGAAAAAACAAACTGATTCATTTCTCCTCTTCTTTCTTCTTTTATAGGGATGAGATGAGATTCTTCTACGAGATATATAATATACATAGGACTCTTTTTCTTTCTTATATAGTTTTATTTTATTAGCTTCCTTTGGTTATAATCTCTTCATTATTTGGGGTTTTATAGAGATGATCGTAATGGTCAAGCCTTTTGTATGCAAGAGTTTTACTTCTGCCGACCTGCAGAGCTAATCTAGTTGTAGATTTACGAATATATTATTCATTTTGATCACTTTTTGGAAGAAATGGAATTTAATGTTTTGATCGAATTACTGATTTTAAATTTCCATTACTCTTTAGAAGCCATTGGAAACTTCAAAAGAACCATACATACAAGTGAAGAAGCAAGGGCAACGAACGTAGTAGATTATGATGTTGATCCTAAAGAAATAAATACTAGAGTTTGCAAAAAATGGGAACCACAAAGCAAAAGCCAAATTAACTATGAGGAGAATATTGGTGCAGAAGAAATAGCGAGTTTGTCAAACTAGTTCCTCAACTCCACTACCTTTTTTTCTTGTGTGTCAAGGCACTCATGGGAGGACCCTGGCTCCTGTTGTTGAGGAAGATGACTGTCCACAGAGTGTGACCTCGGTGTCTGATTAGCCACCTCTCCTGGCACGGGATTTGACCACTGTGACTGCTGATGGCTAGCTGTCTGATTAGACCACTGTTGCTGCCCTGTCCATGCTGACTGCTGGCCAGCTGTCTGGTTAGCCCACTGCTGTTGCTGGCCGGTTGTCTGATTTCCCCACCCTTGTTGCTGGCCGGTTGTCTGATTAGCCCATGGTTGCTGCTGGCTAGGAGTCTGATTAGCCCATGATTGCTGATGACCAGTGTTCTGGTTAGCCCACGGTTGCTGGTGACCATTATTCTGATTAGCCCATTGTTGCTGCTGGCCAGGCGTTTGAGTAGCCCACTGTTGCTGCTGGCCAGGCGTCTGATTAGCCCATTGTTGCTGCTGGCCAGGAGTTTGATTAGCCCACTGTTGCTGCTGACCAGACGTCTGATTAGCCCAAGGTTGGTGCTGGCCAGCTGTCTGATTAGTCCATGATTGCTGATGACCTGAAGGACTTGACCACCCCGATTGCTGAGACCAAGATTGCTGCTGTTGATATCCCGGTGCCTGTCTCGACCATGACGGTGGCTGTTGCCCTGCCGTCTGATTCGACCACGATTGTTGCTGCTGGTTAACAGACGTGTTGGACCAAGAGGGATTCTGGCCATTATTAGCCTTGTAAGCTCCTCCTGCTGTTTGACCTGCAGTTCCATTGGCCCAACCTGAATTGGAATGCACCACTCCTTGGCTCGTCCATGGGGACCTGTCTCTAGGCTGCTGCGGAGCTGCAGGTGTGGTTCCAAACACTGCGGGTACACTAGGTGGAGTGTTACCAGACTGCCCAGCGTTTCTAACCGGCCGGGCAACAGAGTTCAAAATTTTCTCAATCTCCTCACGACGTCCTGCCTTCTCAAAAACCTCAATGGTGAATTCCCGCAGCACAGTAGTAACCCCAACATTATGTCTAATCATATCACCAACAATGTCCTTGGCTTGGTCAAGTGCATCACCATCACAAAGACCTCTAACCACCACATCATAAATGGAAGGATCTGGTTTTGGTTCCCTCTCTCCCATCTTAGTCAAAACTTCAGCAGATTCCGTAAGCTTACCATTCTTAATCAGCTCGCCAAAGACTCTCGTACCGAAATCAGCAACCACCCGTAGATTCACATCAACCATCCTGTCCAACATCTTGAGAGCATCGTCCATTCTTTCTGCCTTGAGATAAGCATCGATCATTGCTCTATGGCTTGGAGCATCAGCAGGCAAAGATTTAGATACACCTTCAGCAAAGAACCTTTCAGCTTCTGTTAACATCCCTTGTTCACAGAACCTTGTTACTATGTTACAGTAACCTAAATAATCCATCACAAACGGTTTGGAGGTGACCTTACTTCCGACCTTCTTGAATGTATTAATCGCTTCACTAAACTCTCCCATCTTGAAACATTCATTGACCATTATACTAACCGTATCCGAATTCACGGAAAGGATATTCGGAGGAGTGTGATTATCCAACATCTCATTAAACAAAGCCCAAGCTTCATCCTTCTTACCATACTTGAGAAAAACTTCCAAAAGTACATTACCAGTCGGAGGATGCATTCTGAATTTCTTATCTAACAAAGACCTGTAAGACTCCATAGCTTCCTTATCATTCCCTTTCTCGAACCAGTGCTCCATAAAGGTGGCATTGACAATCCCATCATAAACAGTACACTTAGACTTCAATTCATCAAAGAACTCAATAGCCTTATCGAAATCACCAAGGTCTAAATATCCTCTAATCAGATTGTTATACACCGTCGAATCCGCAGCTTGACCTTTGCTCAACATCTCCCTTAGTAAACTCGCAGCATCTCCGATCCTTCCAGCTTGAACCAAGCCTTTGGTCAAATGTCTATAAGTAACTGAGGATGGAGCAAAAGGAGCATTAGCCAATATGTGTCTGTACACTTCAAGGGCTTCGTCGACATTCCCTTCATCACAATGAGCGTTGATGATCTGATTGTATGAGACTACATTGGGGACGATGTTAGACTGCTTAAAGAAATACTGAAACAGAGAAATCGATTCACTGTAACGCTTGGCTCGGTACATAGCGGCGATGATGGCGTTACAGGTGAAGACAGTAGGTCGAGTATTGGAAAACACAGACTGGCGAGCGAGCTTTGATGCAGCGTCGAGGTCTGATGCTCTGATCAGTGATTGGACTCTGTTGTGAAGGTTAAGCCTTTGGCCGACGAGTGCGGAAGTTGAATCCGGAAGCCGTGGAGCATTGGGATCACGTTTTGGAGGAGGAGCTGAAGGATCGCGACGGAGAGCGTGGAGAGGAGGTTCAATTCGGAGACGACGTTTACGGCGGCGGCGCTCAGCAGCGGCTTCTTCGGCTGAAGAGAAGGCCATGGTACGATGCGGGATCGGTGGATAGGGAATTGGAGGGGTGTGATTCTGAGGAATCTGGAATTGGGAAGGATCATTTGGAATTGGATTAGGGTTTGGATTTTTCTCTGAATCCTGATTATTACCAGTGGTCGTCTCCGGATCTTCATTTGCCGGGGAAAGTGAGATGTTGTGGATGCGTTGGTGGAGGAAGGAGATCGAAAGAGGGCTACGGGTAGTGGTGGTGGTTGTACAGAGACGGCGGAGGAGGTGACTGAGAGACATGGTGGAGGGAAAATGATTTAGGGTTTTAGAGGTTAGAGGAAGCCGAAACCAATGACGATGGTGGGAGTAGAGAGAGCGAGCTCGTGGCTTAAACCCTTGGATGTGAAAAATTAAAAATTAATGTCGAAATGAAAAGAAAAAAAGATGGCTGACTACACGAAGTATCTGCGAAGATATGGCCACATATGCAAAGTTTAATAATGGATCTTAAACTACATGAACTATATATCGCATGTCCACATATACGAACTATATGTAGTCATGTCGCCAACATTACGAACATTTTTTCCCGGTACACTTTTCGCCGGAATCCGATATTGACCAGTTTGACCGGCGTTGACTAACATAAATATTAAAAAAAAAAAATTAGTTTTTTAATATTTAGAAATTATATTATTGAATCATTTATAATATTATATAATTAAAAAAAATATACAATATAAAAATATAAAAATATTTTGTATATATATTCAATGCATTGATTTTTATAATTAGTTAGTTTTGATAATTTCAAAACTAAACTAAAAATAAAATAAAAACCAATTAGATAAAATAATTGTAAATATGAAATTTTCTGTACTCTCTAGTCTAAAGTTTTTTGTATAATATGTTGTTAATTTTTGTATCTAAAATTATTACGAAAAATTCTTTTAATAATACAAAAAAAAATTAACAACATATTATAAAATGAAAATTAAAGGACGACGTCGTAGTGTTTAACAGTGGCTGTTTGTTAGTACGTGTAATGTTATTCCAAAGATAGGTAAAGAAAGGAAGGATTTTTTAGAGCAACTCAAGCAAAAGTGGGGGTTCTCTAGTTAAAATTGTCAAAAAATAATTCTAAACTAAAAATAAACGTGAGAGACAACTCTCTCAAGAGAGCTTATTTTGTTTGAGAGAGTCTGCCACATGTCGCGTTTTGATTGGTCACATATTTTTTTCTTCAGTTATTCTTTCTGATTTTAAATCTGTATTTAAGGAAATAAAATATACATGGTGATATATATAAGAGAAGTATTACTATTTGTTACCTTACATATAGGAAGTTTGATAGAAGATTTCGTTTAAAAACAATAATAAAGACAAATAATAATAAAATGTATTATTATCTATTTTTGTTTTAAAATAAATTTGATGATGTTTTATTTTCTAAAAACATAATATTTTGACCAAAATAATATGTTTTTTGTATATTTTCTTTTGACAAAAAGTTTTTAGTACTTTTTTAGAATATCTAAGGTATACAATAATATTATATATATATATATATATATAAACTCGCTTCCAACACGTACCTGCTTCCTAAATTTTTTAAAAAACTCGCTTCGATATTTCCAAACGCTTTTGCTTCCGTGTATCCCTTTCCGATTCCTTGTAGCTTAGGTGGTAATCCGGTGAGTCATCGCTACGTTATTGTGAGTTATCGTGATATGTTATTCCGGGTTTTTTTTTGCTTATCTATTTTAAAATGTTTTAAAATAATGAATGTTTTAATATTTTATGCTTTGTAATAATTATTAAGCTGTATGAAATAAAATAATTTTATATTAAAATTATTAATACACAAAAAGTTCTCCTTTGGGCGATGGCGAGAGGATGTCAGTAATTGGGTTACTCAATCGGAATACTGTAATTGGAGTCGATGGTAGTTTTCTTACGCTCAATTTGGTTCTATTCAGATATGGGTATCTCCGGTTTTGGATTTGAATTCTCAGATACGGCGGCGGATTCACAGAGTTCCCCGAGTGCTGCTGCGACTGATGGTTTTGGAGCCGATTTCCTATAAGTTAGCGTGTATGAATATGTCCTGGGACAAGTTCGAGACGGACAAATAAACGAGACCATATGTTTTGCTGCAGCTGATAAGTCTCACTCAGTTTTCTTGTTGATTGATGAGATATATGAGCAGATGTGCAGGAACTGAGATTGTATGCATATAAGTTAAAACAAATCGTTAGAGCATATAAGCAGACACAAACAATCAGTTGGAGCCGCAGAGGCATTCCTTTGCTCATTGTGAGATTTGGCAATCACACCTGTGGCAGATCTGGAGCACTAACCCTTCGTAGTCTATCAGGTAATGTGCAAACCAGAACTTTCTCATAGACCACGATTTGGTTTGTTTACCAAAGTTTCTGAGTCATGGTGAAATTATCTGTTCTTATGCTTGTAAGGTGCTCAAGCTGTGTTTCTTGATGTTGTTTACTTGCATGCCTCTCTATGTTACAAAGACATTCATGAGCTTCGTACTGGCCACCTTGCCTTTTATGCCGTCTCTAACAATTTTAAAAACGAGTGGCGCAAGAAACAAAAGTAGCCATCAAATATTTCCACCGATGCTTCCGTAACCATATCTATTTATGAGACTTTATAGAGATTACCCTAATTTTGGTTTATGCTCCCCAGGTTATCCAGTCTTCCAGAAATGATCAGATAATGGAGGATGAAGGGAATCATATGGTTACGGAAGCATCAGTGGAAAAGCATGAGGTTGAGCTAGAAGAGGGTGAATTATCTCCACCGCCAGTTGTGAGCAAGGCAATTTTGAGGTTAATGGACAGAATGGCTTCAAGCCTTTACATAAGTGACGGACATTGTAAGAAGCAATAAAGACCAGCAAAGTTTTGATAAAAAAAAAAAAGGGAGCAAAGAACAATTTGGCGATTATTTGAATGAATATTTTATAATGTTTAATTATTTGAATGATTCCTATTATGTGCTATTTAGGCGTCATCAAGTAAGGACTGTTTGAAGCATGCTTCTTGAGTCTGTAATATGATGGTTTTTCCATCCCGTGCTATCTATGTTCTTCTGTCTATTTCCAGATGTTGTACGAGAGAATACAAAACAACAAAGAAACATTCAGAAAAGAAATGGAAGGCTCCAGATAACACGACTCTTGATTCTTATCCCAGGTGATATATCTTTCAAATTAATAGCTTTAACTGAAAAACGATTCCTTACTGATTTTCAAATCATAACACGTTTAGGTTCATGGATGCACTCTATAATTTACTTGACGGTTCTATTGACAATACCAAGTTTGAAGATGAGTGCCGAGCTATTTTTGGAGAACAGTCATATGTTCTTTTCACATTGGACAAGCTAGTTCAGAAGTTTGTTAAGCATGTAAGCAAAACCAGTGTCTTGTCTCTACTTCCATTCTCTCTCTCTTATTTCTCTCTTTCATCTGATCATTGGGATGGTTTTTGGATATGCTTCAGCTCCATGCGGTTGCATCTGATGAAACAGACACCAAGCTTCTGCAACTACATGCGTATGAGAACTACAGAAAACCGGGAAGATTATTTGATATAGTGTATCATGAGAATGCATGTGCCATCCTCCATGAGGCAAACATATACCAGATCAGATATGTAAGTTTCTCTTAACTACGCATATTTGTCCATTCAAATTCCATAATTTATTAATACTAATTTGGAACTGATTGCAGTCATCAGCGGAAACACGTCTCTCGATTCAGCTTATGAACAGCGGGAACAATCAGCCTGAAGTAATGGGTGTAGCGACAACGGGGTAAGAACCGAATTTCAATCAGAATCCAACAGAAATTTGAAAATAAAAGTGAGGTGTACGTAATTTAGAAAAAATAGTTCACTCCTCGGTGATAATAGGCAATGCCAAACATATAGCACAAAGTCAACAAGGAGGTGTGTGCAACTAAACACCATCACCAGCATCGTATAATAACCATCACGAGAATCCTAATAACGTAAAAAGTTCTGTAAATATTATTGCCACAACAACGGCAATGCAGACGAGTATGGGCAGAAACCACCAATATACAAAGTCAATAAGGAGGTGTGTGAAACTAAGCCCCATGACCAGCATCGTGTAATACATCCTAATTAACTTTCCATTGATGTTAATCCAAGGCAAGTATTCCAATGCATCTAGAAGCAATCCCATAGTCATGTGAAACCTAAAGTAGCGAGGCAAAGATTCGTTCTTCACCATCCACATGAACCCTAAGCAGCAATACACCATGAACAACCTGTTTTGCAATCTGTTTTCTGCTACTGTGGTGATTGATGAGTTATCGTCTGCAGATGCTGTCACACGCCGTGGTAGTCTTCGGTCATAGGCAAACGATAATGAAGATGCAAAGTCATTTGCTGCAGATATTCTCTAGACATTAGTTTGCAAGGTTTAAACATTAATTAATAAACATATATATAATACCTAGAAGAGGAAGAATCTGTCTCGAGATTCTGGATTTTGGGAATGAACCATCATTGGAGAAACACACTCTCGTTGGTTTCGTGTGTGTTTTACTCTGATTCCTGGCAAAACACACCAATATATTAACATAGATAAAGTGTGATATATGATCATAAATTAGTGTTAAATAATTTGTTGCAATATCTTTTACATTAATATCTTTAACAAAACAAAAACACGTTTTACATATACCAAAAGTCAACTGATGACAACCTTAATCACGATCAACTGAAGAAGAATAAAAAAGAAAAAAAAGAAGAGGAGAATAAAACCTGGGACCGAGGAATGAAAGCGAGATACGATCGGTAGAAGTCGCCAAACCCTGCATAATTTTATTTTTCAAAGATTGGATTGATAAGATATATATATATATATATATATATATATAGAGAGAGAGGCAAACTCCGAAAGACACAAGAGTACAGGCCCATCCAAACTCAGATCCCTAAACTAAATGGGCTGGGAAGAAAAAATAGACGCAACAAAGCTTAAACGGTGCAGTTTTCCCCTTCCAACAACAGTTTCTTTCTTTTTTTTTTTTTTTTTTTTTTGCACCAACAGTTTCTTTCTAATTTCTCTCTTTACTCTTTCAATGAAATTTCTCATCATCCTTCATCCATCATCAAATTAGGGCTTCTCCTAGAACCTTAATCAAATTGTATTTGTAAACGCATATTTGTGGCTAAGTCTATGTGTTCGAGTACGTATATGTTCGAGTCCGAGTATGTATGAGCATAAAGTAAACGACACAAAGAGTTTGTTAACGGGGTTCGGTTTTTCCTACATCCCCGGGACCTAGTCCAGAACAAATCCACTAGAACAAGATTGCAATTACAATTGCATATGATATCGAGCACTACTATGCCTATCATTCTTTTCTAGATGAATAAACCACCAATAGATCTTACATCATATCTGGTGGGGCGACGCCACAGACCTTGTGTGCATCTCTCGAGAATACCCTAAGGCGCGCAAGTCTTCATGAAGCGCCCTCTTGGTATTTATAACAATTGCTCAACCCTAGAGTTGACAATTTTCCTATTCTACACTAATAGGAATTTCCTATTCTACACCAAAATAGGAATTGACAAATTTCCTTTTTCTTTATGGACAAGGAAACTTTGTCTTCACGTTCTCATCTTGAATATACTATTTAAGATGTTTATCCAGCTCAACAGACGTCTCTTGGCTTGTCCAAGTCGTCCCCAAACTTCTGTACTCCAACTCTTCAAAGCAGTGTCGGAACTAGTTCAAGAACTATGTCAGACGTCAGATACATCCTTTGATATATCAGACTGCTGGTTTCCTGATTCAACACCATATATTCTCTGGTTTGTGTCAATCACAGTCACTTCCTCAATTCATCAATCTCATGACATTTTAGATGGATTATAAAACTCAGTCAACACAACATCTTCAATCTCTCCCTTGATGATTGAGTTTTATAATCCAAGCACCTTCTAGAAACTAGTCAACACAATAATAACAATCTCCCTCTTGATGAGGGCGTTTTAGAACCCAAGCACACACTCAATGCTTCATGTTTCGTCATCTATTCGACTCAAAAGATCTCACATCTTCAGTATTTGTTGTATAAGTTACTTGTACAAGTTCCTATATCCAAAAAGCAGATCAAAGTTGTTTCTACTCTGACATTCTTTAATTTCTTATGGAAAGCATCTCAAACGATATTTTAACAGACCATAATATGTGTCTCAAAGAAGCCATAGCTGGAGAGATGCCAGCCACTTAGCATGTTCTCTGCATATGGATGGTTGTTGGAAAGTTTCCATCGTGGTTTAATGCCGACTGGAAAGCTGAATTCCACCGCCTCTACCATCTGGAATCCGTGGAGGAGTTGGAGTTGGGTTGGAGAGATATGGTGAACCCTTTTGGACTGCACACAAGCAGACACATAAATAATTTGTATGCCTCACGTTCCTTGTGGTCTTTACCATACCTGAGAAGCCATTTTCTAGATGGAATGACTTTGACTGGCCGATCGAAAGCCATTAACGCCTTTATTCAAAGGTTGTTGAGCGCACAAATCCTGCTAGCTCACTTTGTAGAACAAGTATGTTCTCTTCTCCACTCTGACAGTGTTAATTCATTGCTAGTCTAGTAAGAAGAGGGCCATGGATAGTGAAGTGAGCTATTTCAAGCTCTTAGGCCATTGATATAGTATAAAGAAGAGTATGATAAAGGGACACGTGGACGGTGGAGATGGAAGGAAGAATCAACGGTCAAGATTATAAGCAAGTGGGTGTTGGTGTTTAAAAGGAAGATGAAGATCAGAATTAGATTTTATCGTGAAAATTGTGAAGTTTGTTGTTCTTTCTTTTGAGTTTTCTGTTTCTCTGAGAATTCTCTGAGGATTCTCATGGCTATTTCCTCATTGTAGCTTGAGCTTTTTCTTCTTCTATGCTCTAGCAATTTGAGAAGTGGATCCGTGTTTTATGAACATCGATTCAATCTATCGTTCGATTTCATTTGTGAGATTGTTGAGTTTTTCTATATCAAAGGTATCAGAGCGAAGACGATTCTCGGTCTTCAACAATGGAAAGGCGAGCTCAAGCGACGAAAGAGAAGGAAGTGATGGAGGATCTGCTTGGATTGCGTGTCGCAAAGTTGGAAAACAAGATCGCAGAGCAAAATTCGAAGATGACGAAGCATATGGTTGAGATGTACGAAGCGATTCATTTGTTCTCTAGACCGTCGAATCAAGCCGATGTTCATCATCAATTTCGATATGCACCAGCATCGGCTAGTTTCTCGCCAGCTCCAGAATTCGGGAAGCGATCTGGTAACTCTAATACTTATGCTGGTGTTACACGTCTTGCGAAACTGGATTTTCCTAGATTTAATGGTGATAAAATCAAAGAATGGTTGTTCCAAGTTGAACAGTTCTTCGAAATTGATCATACACCGGATGAGTTGAAAGTAAGGATCGCATCTGACCATTTTGATGATCTTGCTGCTGCTTGGCATCAATGGATGGTGCAATCGGTTTTGTGGAAGCATGTTATGCACGATTGGATGACTTATAAAATGTTGTTGCAAGGCAGATTTAAGGAGCTGGAGGTTGATCCAATTGTTGAGTTGAAACAATTACAGGAAACAGATGGAATTAGAGATTATCATGAAAAATTTGAGCTGATCAAGTCTCGTGTGAATCTATGTGTGAATCTATCTGAAGCGTATTTGGTTAGTATTTACTTAGCAGGGCTCAGAACTGATACTCAAGAGAATGTTAGGATGTTTCAACCTCAGACGATTCAACAATGTTCTTGATTGGAAAATTGTATGAGCGAGCACATCCACTTAAGAGAGATAAAGAGTTGGAGGCAGAGGAGAAGCTGAAGTTGGAGAATCACGAAAATTTGGTACAGGAAGCAATCTTGGAGGAAGAATCAATTCCACAATTTCAGGTACCAATTGCTAATTCTGAGATTTTGAGGAGTAGTGAACTTAGGGAAGTCAATTTAGGGGTGGGAAATCTAGAAGATGTGGTGATGAACGAGAATCTGGAGCAAGAATTGGTTCAAAAGAACATTACTAAAAGATTTGAGGTTGAAGGTGATGTAGAAAGAAGTCAACAAGTGATTTTTGTTGATGTGGAGAGCTTCGTGCAGCAACAAGAATTGAATTGTGATAGAGATTTTGTCTTAGCAATGGATCATGGGGGTAGTTCTCCTTATGCGAAATCGGAGACAGGATGGTTTGTTAAAACTGATTCAATTTCAGAATTCGAATTGGAGTCAATGGATTCAAAAATGGAGACAGATTCTGTTGCACACCTTCAGGATCAACAACTTGTCGTAGCAGCAGCTTTGAGTCCACTCTTTGATGATTTCCACTCGGACGTGGCTGAGTTTTGTGAGCAGTCAACATGTGCCAAGTCTCATAAACAGAAGCAAAGACTATCTCCAAAGTCTTGGATGTTCAAATTCAAAACGGGTTCTAATCCTAATGGAACTAGTCACTTACACTGTCACAACGAATGTGGTTACAAATCCGTCGTGGAGTCAAGAAGCAGTGCAAACTTCTTGTGCACAAATTCACAAAAAAAAAAAAAAAAAAAAAAAAAAAAAAAAAAAAAGCGTATGCTTTGTCTTTGTAGCAGTCAAGCTTCGATACCAATCATGGTGATTGTTGTGGTTCTGATTAAGTGGTCAAATATGGAGAAGCTGTATGAATTGTTGCAGCAAGATCTTTCTTATCAACCATGAGGGCATGGTTGTTTGGGGAGGAAGGATTTGATATAGTATAAAGAAGAGTATGATAAAGGGACACGTGGACGGTGGAGATGGAAGGAAGAATCAACGGTCAAGATTATAAGCAAGTGGGTGTTGGTGTTTAAAAGGAAGATGAAGATCAGAATTAGATTTTATCGTGAAAATTGTGAAGTTTGTTGTTCTTTCTTTTGAGTTTTCTGTTTCTCTGAGAATTCTCTGAGGATTCTCATGGCTATTTCCTCATTGTAGCTTGAGCTGTTTCTTCTTCTATGCTCTAGCAATTTGAGAAGTGGATCTGTGTTTTATGAACATCGATTCAATCTATCGTTCGATTTCATTTGTGAGATTGTTGAGTTTTTCTGTATCAGCCATCTATGCATTAATTGTTCAAGTATTTAGTTTATAGGGTTTATGCATTTTAATCTCATGAAATGGTACCGTACGTGTAAAGGTGCTAAGTAGGTAATCAAATAAATACAGTTTTTGATTGAGAAAGCACACCTGGTCATTGTAAAATATGAGAACGTAAAAGCTAACAGTCGTAGAGTACCCAGTAGCTCACTCTGTAACTCCCTTAGTACTGTTGTCTTTCCCTTACTCTGTTCTCTCCCAACTAGATATGAAGAACGTATTGCCTCTCATGTTCTGCTCAGTTTGGTTTGCTTTTCACATTGTAAACCAAATACAATCCATCTCGTTGGATATCGAAGTGAGTTTCTTTCGTTTACAGCTGGGATCGGTTTTTGGACCTTGCTAACACACACACACAACAATGGGATAACAACCGAATTTGAAATGAAACAAGACTTTATTGTTGGGATTTTCAAAGGTATAAAAAAAAGATTCTATTGAAGGATAACTAGAAAAAAGCTCACCGTAATATAAACAAGGACATGTGTGCAACTAGACACCATCATCATATATGACTTAAAACCATCTAAGATAATCCTAAAACCTTACAAAGTTGTACAAATGCCATTCCAGCACCAACAAAACAGAGGGCGATTTTAGGGGCAGCCCACCATAATATGTCAACAAGGGTGAGTGTGCAACTAAATCCCATCACCAGTATCGTGTAATACACCCTTAAACTACCATTTATGTTAATCCAAGGGAAGAATTCACATGCTTCTAGAAGCAATCCCATAATCATGTGAAACCTAAAGTAATGAGGCAAAAATTCTTTCTTCACCATCCACATGAACCCTAGGCAGCAATACACCATGAACAACCTGTTTTGCAATCTGTTTTCTGCTACCGGGGAGATTGAGTTTTTGTCTGCAGATGCTGTCACACGCCTTGGTAGTCTCCACGATGGTGAAGTTGCAAAGTCATTTGCTGCAGATATTCTAGACATTAGTTTGCAGTGCTATATATGAAGAAAGGTTTAAACACATAATACCTAGAAGAGGAACAATCTGTCTCAAGATTTTTGATTTTGGGAATGGACCAACATTGAAGAAACACACTCTTGTTGGTTTCGTGTGTGTTTTACTCTGATTCCTGGCAAAACACAGCAATATATTTACATAGATAACGTGTGATATATGATCACAAACTAGTGTTATAAGTTATATAGTCCCTGAGCCGTAACTCTAAATAATTTGTTGCAATACCTCTTTAACAAAACAAAACAAAAATCAACTGTTGCAAACCTTAATCACGTTCAACTGAAGAAGAAAAAAACCTGGGAGCGAAGAATGAAAGCGAGACACGATCGGTGGAAGTCGCCAAACCCTGCATAATTTTTACTCGGGGTCAGGATCTTATTATTTTCAAACCTAAAAAGATTGAGTTGATCAGATACATAAAAGGGAAACAAACCTCCAAAGACACAAGAGCGCAAGCTTATCAATGGTTTGTCCAAACTCAGAGCCCTAAACTATGGGCCGGTAAAAAATAGACGAAAGCCCAATAGAAACGCAACAAAGTTAAAACGGAGTAATCCGATCCAAATTTCTAAGAACCGAAATAACCGGCTCGGTTCGGGTAACCGTAGTCGAGGGATGTGAGAAACTGAGAAGAAATGGGATTTTATTAACAAAAATAATATCGAAATGAAAATTAACGGACGACATCGTATTGATAAATGGGGGCTGTTTGGTAGTACGTGTAATGTTGTTATAAAGACGAGTAGAGAAGAGGCGTAAGATAACAAGATGCGTAGGAGAAAGGAAAGGATTATTGTCACTTGCCTGCGCAAATTAGGGCTTCTCCTTCGCAAGACTCTGTTCGCCAGCTTAAATTCAGTAGTGTACTCTCTTTCTCTATCTCTTGCAACTTCTCTATTTCTATTCTCTTCACGCATTTCTATCAGGACTTCCATTTTCTTAACGAAATTGGAATTCGAATCATGCGAGTTTTATTGAAAACTTCTCTTCTTGTGATTGATTTCAAACGTTTCGAATACAGCGACTTTCAAATTATGAATAACCCATCTTGTAATTGCCATTGATCTCGGAGAATTCGAATTGAGTTAGCTTCGAAATCTCCAAATTACATTAAAAATTCAATCTTTCTAGCTTCGTACTCATGAGTTTAAAGCTTGTAATCCATGTGGCAGTGGCACTGTGAATTCTTAAGTATCGTCAATTGGTTGCTTTCCACAATCATTTTTAAGCTGACATGATTCTGCGAACATTATGTAGCACTTCATTGCAGATTATCTGGTTATTGTAGATAGTAATGTTACAGAGTCTCATAAGTGCTCTTGTTATGTGCTTGTCAGGCAAAGTGCTGAATATACCTTAGGAGCTAAATGTCGGATGATCCTGGACAGATGTTGCTCATCTATGATGATCCTTCAGATCAGCGATCCCTGTCTTTGGACGATGCTAGTAGTACTGAGGAATCTCCAGACGAGACCACTCTCTCTTTAGAAGCAGTTCACAATGCCATTCCATATCTCGGACAAATATTTCTCACACATGATGCTGCTTACGAGTTCTATAGTACATTTGCAAAGCGTTGCGGGTTCTCCATACGCCGTCACAGGACAGAAGGAAAAGACGGAGTTGGCAAAGGACTTACGAGGCGCTACTTTGTTTGTCATCGTGCTGGTAACACACCTATCAAAACTCTAAGTGAAGGAAAACCACAGAGAAACAGAAGGTCTTCTCGATGCGGATGTCAAGCATACTTAAGAATTAGTAAACTTACTGAGTTAGGTTCAACGGAATGGCGTGTTACGGGTTTTGCTAATCACCACAATCATGAGCTCCTAGAACCAAATCAAGTTCGTTTTCTTCCTGCATACAGGTCCATATCAGATGCAGATAAAAGTCGGATTTTGATGTTTTCCAAGACTGGAATTTCAGTTCAGCAGATGATGAGGCTCTTGGAGCTTGAGAAGTGTGTTGAGCCAGGATTTTTACCATTCACCGAAAAGGATGTCAGGAATTTGCTTCAGTCATTCAAGAAACTTGATCCTGAGGATGAGAACATTGATTTCCTGAGGATGTGCCAAAGCATAAAGGAGAAAGACCCTAACTTTAAGTTCGAGTTTACCTTGGATGCAAATGATAAGTTAGAAAATATTGCCTGGTCATATGCTTCTTCCATTCAGTCATATGAAATCTTTGGAGATGCTGTAGTTTTCGATACAACACATCGCTTAAGTGCAGTCGAGATGCCACTTGGAATATGGGTTGGAGTTAATAACTATGGTGTGCCTTGCTTCTTCGGTTGTGTGCTTCTACGGGATGAAAATTTGAGATCGTGGTCATGGGCACTACAGGTAACAAAGTGGCACACTAAGCTGATTAAGTTCCTTTTCCACTTATTTCTGTTTTAAATTCTTGGCAAGTGTCTGTGGGTAGGGCAAATAAGCAAATCAATTTGTTTCTACTCTGACACTCTTTAATTTTGTCTCATATGGAAGGCATTCACAGGGTTCATGAATGGGAAGGCACCTCAAACGATATTAACAGACCATAATATGTGTCTCAAAGAAGCCATAGCTGGAGAGATGCCAGCCACTAAGCATGCACTCTGCATATGGATGGTTGTTGGAAAGTTTCCATCCTGGTTTAATGCCGGTCTTGGGGAGCGGTACAACGACTGGAAAGCTGAATTCTATCGCCTCTACCATCTGGAATCCGTTGAGGAGTTCGAGTTGGGTTGGAGAGACATGGTGAACTCTTTTGGACTACACACAAACAGACACATAAATAACTTGTATGCCTCACGTTCCTTGTGGTCTTTACCATACCTGAGAAGCCATTTTCTAGCTGGAATGACTTTGACTGGCCGATCCAAAGCCATTAACGCCTTTATTCAGAGGTTCTTGAGCGCACAAACCCGGCTAGCTCACTTTGTAGAACAAGTATGTTCTCTTCTCCTTCTGACAGTTTATTCATTGCTAGTCTGGGAAGAAGAGGGCCATGGATAGTGAAGTGAGCTATTTGAAGCTCTTAGGCCATGTATGCATTAATTGTTCAAGCATTTATTTTATAGGGTTTATGCATTTTAATCTCATGAAATGGTACTATACGTGTGTTGAGTTTGCTATTTTTGCTAATTTGAGTTATGGGTGAATATGCAGGTGGCTGTTGCTGTGGATTTCAAAGACCAAGCCACAGAACAGCAAACAATGCAGCAGAATCTCCAAAACATCAGCCTAAAAACGGGGGCCCCCATGGAATCTCACGCAGCCTCGGTCCTCACTCCATTTGCATTCTCCAAGCTCCAAGAACAGCTTGTGCTTGCAGCTCACTACGCATCATTCCAGATGGATGACGGGTATCTCGTGAGACACCACACAAAACTAGATGGAGGAAGAAAAGTCTATTGGGTTCCTCAAGAAGGCATCATAAGCTGCAGCTGCCAACTGTTTGAGTTCTCTGGGTTTCTCTGCAGGCACGCACTCCGTGTTCTCTCTACAGGAAACTGTTTTCAGGTCCCAGATAGGTATCTTCCTCTTAGGTGGCGCAGGATCAGTACGTCGTTTAGCAAGACGTTCAGAAGTAACGCAGAGGATCATGGAGAGAGAGTTCAGCTTCTGCAGAATCTGGTTTCGACTCTGGTCTCGGAATCGGCTAAATCGAAGGAGAGGCTAGATATTGCAACGGAGCAAACCTCCATCCTCTTATCCCGTATCAGAGAGCAGCCTGTCTCTTCACTTGCTCTCCGAGACATTTCTTCTTCTGTGCAGAGGAATTTTTGATACCGCAATGTTATGCGTGTCTAACTATTTTTAGATAAGATAATTACTTTATTAACCTAATCTTACAAGATTGAAACTCTTATCTTAAATTATGCAGTGTTAGAAAAAACAATTTTATATTCGTTGACAAAAAAGAGAAAGATAAGTCAACCTTAAATCCGTCTTGTTCGACTAATGATTTATTTACATGTTAATGCGTAGGCCACACATGTCACCAGAACAGTAGAACAGTATTTTGTTCCAAGTTATGATCTGTAGAAGATAATAAAAATTGACTCGTCCAAAAAAAAAAAAAAATTATAATAATACAATTGATTTGTGCAATCTTTTCAAATGGGCAGATGTTTTTCACAAAGCCCAAATCGTCGTTACCAACACGTCAACAGCATCTGAACGAACGAGCGAGTGTATACTACACACACACCCAAACGCGTGAAGATAAAACGACAGCAGAGAGTGGGTTCTCTCGATTTTCAGCAGAGAGTGGATGACCAAGAGCTTCTGGCTGACACGTGTCGACCAATCATTTGACAATATCAGAACTTCAATAAATAACTGGTTGATTCAGCAGCGGTTTGTAGGAAACCGGTTCTAGTAATATCTTCGTTTTCAATATCCAGACTTAACCGAAAAGAAGAACAAAAGAAAAAGCACTGATTTTTAAGATTAGGGTTTTGAACAGGATCGTGAATCGAATCAGAACAACATTGGTCAATCAATCTCTCAGTACTAAAATTACTTGAGACCAAGTCGAAACCGAAAAGATGAAACCATTCACGAAATCTAAAAGGGGAAAATAAAAAAGAAAAACCCTAAATCCTGCAATTTCGAAACGAATCTAAGAAAGGTTAAATCAACCATTAAAAGTCCAAGCGTTCTCCTTACGAATCGCTTCTTCTTCTTCAGGTGTGAAATCGTTCTCGATGTTGAAGATCTCTCGAACTTCCTCCGGAGTTTTGTCCTTGATGTAATCAGCAACCGTCTGGCTAGCGAAACCGAGAAGTCCTTCGAAGTTTAGGTAGTTGGCAGCGAGAATGATTTTGAAGATCGTCTCCAGATCTAGCTTTTCCACGAACTTAGCGTCCCACGAATCCAGCTTCTTCTTCGCCTCCTCGTCTTCGTCTTCATCAGGTTCAACGACGTGCTTCTTCGCGTACTCGATTATCTTAGAGAGGATATCTCCGGTGACGTTGTCAATCGGAATTGCTTTGCCGGCGCAGTCATCTTCGATCATGTGCGCTATGATCTGAAACTTACGCGCCACCGCTTCGTCGATCTCGAAAGACTCGCCATCGGAACTCGTCAACAAAATCTTGTTAAAAGGCATGGTTAGACTCGCCACCGCTTCCTCTATCTCGGAAGATTTGCCGTCGGAGCTCTTTTTCGAAGAAGACATTGTTAATATGGAGAAGAGGAATCCAGAAAGAAAAACCCTCACAAGCCGGTCATTAAAAAACGTAGGGGAGAAAGGGAAGGCAATGGATCAGGATAATGGGCCTAAAGATTTCATAAAGCCCAAACAATTTTATACGGCTGTACTCAACAAAGTCCCACTCATCTGATTCTAGAACATTCGGGAGAAAAAATTGAAATTTGCTGAACCAATCCTAGGTTGATTGGTTTTGATACCGGTTTGTAGAAGTAAAAAGACAAACAAAATGGCGTCTTCTTGGACTGACGATAAACCAAAAGGTTTTTCACATTAGGGTTTTAACATAAACCGAGAATCGAATCAACCGCAAGATTAGCCATTTTCATATCATGTTATGCGTACTAATAAAGTTTCAAATCATTTCAGTCATATGGTTTATTCAAGTAAATCATATAAATGGTGTTGCTTTATTGAAAACGACGACGACGTCAGCAAACTCAAATCAAATCTCTAAAAGAAAACATAAATCCATAGATTCGTTACATGAATAATGAAACTGAAATTACTCAACTAGCTAGCGAAACATGTCAATCTCAGATTTTATTTTGAGAAAAAACCCTAACTCACTCGGGATTGACTCAGCTGTTGAAGATAGCAGCGAAGGCAATGACAACGGAAGCAAGTCCACAGAGAATAGAGATAAAGTCGAAAACGAAAGATGTAGGATTCTTAGCTCGAGCAAACCCGTGTGCGATCTGAAACACAACGTAGCCAATGGAGGCGTAGGCGAGAGCATTGGAAAAAGGCTTGCTTGGGTCTTTCTCGTACTTACTCAGTTTGTCGTGGAGGAAGAAAGAAAGCATGCCTATCAGCGCAGTCCTTGGGATGTGCTCGAAGAACCTCTTGAACGCCCTCTTGGTTTCTTTTGCAGTGCTCTTCCTCTTCGTTTCTGTTCATTCTCGATCAGCTGGGGATTACAAACAAAAAGGAAAAAATGTTTCAGTTAATCGGAAAGAAACGAAATGAAAAACAAAAATCAAGATGTGCATGATTTTAGAGACAGGGAAGAAGAAGAGACAAGTTACCGGAGGTGAAAGAAGTGTGCAATGAAGCTGAACGAGTGAGAAAGCAAGCGACTTTCACTAGTATATATTAATTGATGTGAACAAAAGAACAAAAACAAAATTTGCCACGTAATAATCGAAACCAGCTGGGTTTTTTTTGTCTTGGTTACCAAAGGATAATAACCGATTTCCTTTTTTATGCTTTACCGTGCGAATCAGCCCCTCTCTCTCTCTCTCTCTCTCTCTCTCGTACTGTCACACAGACGTTATTCATTTTTTGGTCTTTCGTTCAAAATAAACTGCTTTTTAATCAAAAATCTTTGATTATATATATCGTTATTAGTTGGACACACAACCATTAATTAACGAATTTAATTAAAAAAATTCATTTCTAATTAAAACACACTAAACTGCATTTTCCAAATTGTATGAAATAATCATGATTTCCGTGAAGCATATAATTGATAAGAGTTATGATACCATTGTCAGTAATTTACTGGTAATACCATTGCGTATGCATGCATGCAGTTTAAGCTTGTTAAAAGAAATGCAGATCAATTAACCATTATCATATATTCTGTCGTTTAGCGTAGGAAATTTCATCACGCTTTTTTTTGTTTGGCTTTTCTCATAATAACGGTAGTACGTAAGTCTTTCTTGCTTTCCATAACGAGATCATCAAAATCCATACCAAATCTCTAAAAAGAAACACATAATCCATAGACTCATTACAAACAACAAAAAACTGAAATTACTCAAAGTAGGGGAAACACATATCACAGATTTGTTCTTATTTCGAAATAAACCCCATAACTCGGTTTTGACTCAGTACCTTTAGTCGAAAAAGACAATGCAGAAGATACCTACGAGCGCAATGAAGATGACTGCGACACCACAGAAGATAGAGATGTAGTCGAAAACCGCAGATCTAGGGTTCTTAACCTGAGCAAACGCGTCCGCGAGCTGAAACACGACGTAACCCACGGAGAAGAAAGCAACGGCGGCTGAAAATGGCTTGTTTGGGTCTTTCTCGAAACCTCTCAAGCTGGTGTGGAGAAAAGAGAAACTGAAGCATGCCATCCCAATCCTGCCAAGTTGTTTGACCAATCTTTCTTTTGCCTCATTGTTCATCTTTGAAATCTCCAATCGAAACTAAAAGTCTAAAAACCAAGTAAATCAGTTTAATAAACCGCAGATTTCTTTTCATATCGGAAAAGAAAAATAAATACTCCCTCTGGTTTTTTAAAGTTGTCATTTTAACTGTATTTGGACAAATTAAGAAAAGGTATACAATGACTATATTAACCTCATAAAAATGACAAGTAATTATTTACAAATAATTTGTATTCAATAAAATGAGGGTAATTTGGGTAGTTATTGGCATAAATTATATTATTACCTTAAAACGACAATTAATTTAAAACAAAAAAAAAACTCTAAAACGACAACTATTCGAAAACGGAGGGAGTAATAATCAAGAGACAAGGAGAGACGAGAGGCATTTACCGGCGGTGAAAAAAGACTTGCAACAAACCTCAACAGAGAAAACCAGTGACTGCAATCGTATATATATGTGGGTTTCTATATTTATTGATGATATTTTAGTCGACAAATAAATTTTATTTGTTTTGTTTAGAATTTGCCACGTAATTAATTAAAAACCAGCTGGCTCTGGCTCTTTTTATCAATGGACTATTAACCGTTTTGGTATGAATCAGCCTTTCTCAAAAACACACACATTTATTATATGCTCTCTTTGGATAAATCATTCCTTGTTGATATTAAATAAATCATTATACAATTGTATGAAAAAAGGACGCCATTTACTTGTATAGTAGTTGTTTTGAAAGAAACTTTGAAAGAAAAAAAAAAAAGGGTTGCCTATAGCGTTACACCTATACTATAGCGTTTCAATTCCTATCTACCTGTATTTTCGAACTCTGCCCAATTCACCCTATACTTGTTTTAAACTTCTTAATTCCATCTAAACTATTAAATTCTCCATAATTAACCAAATCAATAATTCTCTATAATTGTGATTAAAAATTGTTCAAATTGCAGTAAAAATCTGTGTTTATATTAATCCGAGGTTGACCCGACAAAACAAATGAACTCGAGTCAAACCTTTATGGTGAAAGAAGTCTTCGAAGTTGGTCGGATCTGACTCAGGTTAACCCATATTAAAATTATAAGATGTAATACATTCTTCCGATGGATGTAAATAATTTATTAAAAGTCAATAATACAACCTATGAACATTTATGACTTCATAAGTTGTAATAAGCAAAAAAATTATATAATTTTATAAATAGGCCAATATTTTTATTAGATGATTTAATAATTAGTATAACATAACTACAAATAGTGTTTTATACTATGCAATATGCATTATTTAAAATATATATGTTTATATAATTTTAGTTATGCTTACAAAAATAAAATTAAAAGTTAAAAATGATAATTTTGACCGGTAACCCGTGCAACGCACGGATCCATATTTAGTACTCCCTCCGTTTCGTTTTAGTTGTCGTTTAAGGTTTTTTCACACAAATTAAGAAAGCATTAAATTTTCTGTTTTACTCTTTATTAACTAGGATCGGACCCGCGGTCCACCGCGGGAGAATATTGGTTTACATACGTTGCGTTTAATATTGTGTGTGTTTTTTAGTAGAACGAATCGTGTAGTATACTTATAAATATTCATAATAACGAATTGTAGAGAAAATGTAAAATTGTTTATAAATATACCCATGGTATTAATTATGATTTACAAAATAGAATTTTGTGTTTTAAAATTCTAAAATTAGACGATTCATGGGAATTAGAGCAGTCAAAATAGGTCAAAAACCGCGGGTCAAGCCCACATCATCTCACTATGGGGCAGATTTGAGAAAATATATTAAACCCGCAAATAAGCGGGCCACATGGATTAATTCGTAGTGGGTCATAGGTTTAATCGGTTTTCATCGTCCGCGGGTTGGCGGATCAGCCCGCATATTAGTATTTATTGATAAAATTATAATTTATTCAACATGTGGTAATTTAAACAAACTTTTAATAGTATTTTGATTTATTTATTTATTTTAGTAGTATTTTAAATTTTGGTTACTTTAAAATTATTTAAACAAAATCCATGGACAATCCCGCAAATCCGCATATATTCGCGGGACGGGTTTGTATTTCATATATGCTATCCGCGGGTCGTGCGGACCGACTAACTACAAGTCAAAATATTTTTTGTCTATCGCAAAACGGACTTAACGGGACGAATCAACTCGCTTTGACAGTTCTAATGGGAATATTATTTAGTCGTACAACAAAATGAAGTTTGGACATAGTAATAATAGAATATGTATCTTATTTGTTAGATGAGAGATTGAAAGATGAAGTATAATGATTAAAAATTAATTATTATTTTTCATGATTCACAAAATTTAATAAATACTTATCATCTTGTTGAATAATTCTAAAATCATATTCAAGAAATCTTTATAAATTGAAAATTAAACTTCTTTGGTAAGTTATAGGTATGAAAATATCATAATTTCGATTTAATCTAATTAAATTAAAATTAGTTACATGGATTTCATATCTATTTAATTTACACGACCAAAATAAAAATATCTATTTAATTTACACGACCAAAATAAAAATATCAATTTAATTTATAAAACAGATGGGTTATTTGTGATAAATTTTCTAGAAATCTTTAGAAGCAAATAAAATATCTTTCAATTAATGATAATTGGCTAAAATGAGCGAAATTAATGACAAAAACGTTGATTGTTATGGAATTAGTCCCAAAAATATATGAACAAATTTATTATACGTAATTAATGTATAATATTGTTTGGAATATGCTTTTATTATTAGTTACCATAAGTACAATCAGATTTTATTTGATTTTCATAAATATTTGATTTTATTTCGATTTTTCATTATTAATTCGAATTTATATTCCAAAAAAATTTCAAAGATCCGATTTCAGAATTTCGGGTCAATTTTCTGATTTTAACCCGACCCATTTTCATTTGTACTTCTCTTTTAATAGTATAGAGATATATTTTATAAAATATTTCATTGGCCAAAACATTAAAACTGTAGGGATAAAACTGGAATTTTCACCAAACATTTGCATTGAAAACCTAAAACGACAACTATTATGAAACAAAATTTAAATCGTAAAACGACAACTAAACTGAAATGGAGGGAGTAATAAATAAAACAAAGAAATAGTACAGGTTTTCCAAACAACAATAAATCAAAACTCCAAAGTAAAAAAATTTCCATTTACAGATCATCGATTAGACGAAAGTTGTACACAAATGAATCAAGAAACACTGAACCATGACCAACAAAATAATCAGTTTGAATAGTTTACATTTCACTAGCATTAGAGAAAGGAGAAAAAAAGAAGAAGAAGTTACGTATCTTTTTGTCTCAAAATTAACAACTATGGACAAAACAGAGAAGAAAGAACGAAAGAAACCAAGGGAAATGTTAGATGAAACGAATAAAATAAATTCACAAAAAGAAAATTTTGATTTTCGTCACCGGGTTTTACTTTTATCAGGAGCAGCTCTGTTTTCGATATTTAGTTTCTTCCTCTTCTTTGTCTCGTAAGTAGATCCTCTGTTTCTGCTCTGTTCCTTGATCATTGGAACCAAGTACCAAACGATACAAGTGCATGAAGATGTTGTGTTGACTGAGTTTTATAATCCATCTAAAATGTCATGAGATTGATGAATTGAGGAAGTGACTGTGATTGACACAAACCAGAGAATATATGGTGTTGAATCAAGAAACCAGCAGTCTGATATATCAAAGGATGTATCTGATGTCTGACATAGTTCTTGAACTAGTTCCGACATTAATACAGGAAGCTGAGTTGTGACACTGCTTTGAAGAGTTGGAGTACAGAAGTTTGGGGACGACTTGGACAAGCCAAGAGATGTCTGCTGAGCTGGATAAACATCTTGAATAGTATATTCAAGATGAGAACGTGAAGACAAAGTTTCCTTGTCCATAAAGAAAAAGGAAATTTGTCAATTCCTATTTTGGTGTAGAATAGGAAATTCCTATTAGTGTAGAATAGGAAAATTGTCAACTCTAGGGTTGAGCAATTGTTATAAATACCAAGAGGGCGCTTCATGAAGACTTGCGCGCCTCAGGGTATTCTCGAGAGATGCACACAAGGTGTGTGGCGTCGCCCCACCATATATGATGTAAGATCTATTGGTGGTTTATTCATCTAGAAAAGAATGATAGGCATAGTAGTGCTTGATATCATACGCAATTGTAATTGCAATCTTGTTCTAGTGAATTTGTTCTGGACTAGGTCCCGGGGATGTAGGAAAAACCGAACCCCGTTAACAAACTCTTTGTGTCGTTTACTTTATGCTCACACATACTCGTACTTGAACATATACGTACTCGAACAATTAGACTTAGCCACAAATATGCGTTTACAATTGGTATCAGAGCGGGTGCTCGACAAAAATCTGTTCTTATTTCGGGTATGATCCTGGATTTGTGGCTAACTGCGAACTGGAAGCAGATGAGAAGGAAGTGTATTCACGAAGATATAGAGAAAAAGATCAAGGGTATATTCGGAGTTGTGTGATTTTGAAGAAACCAAGCGAAAAGGATAGTTACGGTATGATGAATATCTTCGAATTTTGACAGAGGTGGAATATATCTTAAACTCTTAAGAAAGGTTTGTGCTATCCATCGAGTTGTATGAAGGAAGAACACAACTTGTTTCTATTATCGTCGGGAACGGTTGAGAAGAAGACTTTTTCCTAACATGGGCTTGCTTTTGGAACTTTTGGCCCAATAATGATTCTTTTCTAGGCCTCGCGAAGGAAGACGTTTTTTGAAGCAGTGTTCCACGATGGAGAAAAATTGCTAGCAAAGGTTGACTCAGATTAGTTTAATAGACACACATGTTGGGTTTTGGGTCTATCTTCTGGTGTCCTCTCCAGTGTGAACAAAATCGAAGTGTGTGATTCTGGAGTGCTCTTGTATTGCTTCGTAGAGGAGTTAACGAGGAACTGTGTTGAATGTGGGTTGTTCACTCAAGGAGCAGTTCGTCTAAACATGTTTTTGTCTTTCTCAGCATTCAGAAGATTGAAAAAGAATTCCAAAATCTGAAAAATCGATGGGCTGAATAGAATCATGAGTTTTGTTTTAAGAAAGAAACTTGGAGAGTTAAAAGAAGATGTTTCTCGATGAAGAAGATATAAGGTGATTTTAGCCGGTTAAAATCAGAAGAAGATAATATAATCTTTCCTCAATTCAATGGTTCTGCAAACTTCACGAAGAGAAACAAAATCAAAGGTCATGTGTATCTCGTTCATCTTTGGTTATTTTCGGTTCTTGAAAGAAGATGGGTTAACTTCGGGTTTGATCATACAAATCGAAAAATCGTGTTGGGGGTTTTGAATTGAATTGGTGAAAGGTGGAGTTTAATCTCTCAATCTGGAATCAGCGAGATGAAGATATATGTTCAGTTTTTGGGTTTCATAAATCGGTTAGTTTGCGACTGTTCTTCAATATGATACTTAGATAAAGAGAGTCACAAATTCTGCAGAAGATTAAGAGATTTTTTGAGCTGTTAAAATTGAGGATTGATGTCATGTCTGGAGTTATTAGTTGAAGCAAAGAGAGGTCAATTTCGTGAAATTGAGGGCTAAAATAGTCACATGTCTAGAATAAACGTGAAGAGAATTTGTGATGGTGTAGCTTACCCGTGGAAGAGACGTGTGATTCTGAAATCATTTTGAGCCTTAGTGGTATTCTCTGGTTTCAATTTGATACTGAAAAGGAACTACAATGTCAGCATCTATCTCAGATGAAAGAAGTGAATGTGGCTTTGGTGAAAGATTCGCAGTCGTCGAGTTCACAGGTAAAATTTGCAGTCTTAAAGAAATGGCCGTGATTATGCAGTTATCGGAGAAAGAAGACACTTGTATGTGTGAGTTTTTCACTGAAGACATTGCTCTTTAAAGCTTTGTCAAAGTAACTGGAGATGGTGAATAAACGAGCTTCGGTTGTCTCGTGTCAAAGCTGTCTCATGGGCTTCCTCTGAGATTTGGTTAGAACCTTGAGATCAGAAGATGAGCTAATTCCCTTTAAGCCAATCTACAGTTTTGGTTCCTCATTTTCAAGGGTTGAAATTTTTGGTAAAGTGTACGGAAGCTTCTATAAGATTCAGAGGGAGAGTTTGAGTATCTTCTTCTCCGTTGAGATTGAGATTCACTGAAGGGAAAAAATTTGGGTTTTCAAAAGTGGAAATCTTGTCAACTGATTGAGAAAATCAGAGAAAGAATTTGAGAGTCGTCTCCACCGAGAGAAAGTGCGAGAGGTTCCGGATAGAGGAGAGAATTGAAAAGGTCATAAGTTTCTAGTGTAAAGAATTGGAAATTTAGAATTTACAGTTTCCTCAACGGGGAAGAATGGTTGCGTTTTGTTGACAACTCTTGAAGCTTGTTTTTGATTTGGCGATTTGAGGAAAGATCAAAAGTAATTCATATGGAAGGCTTAGAGTATGATACGTGAACCAGTTTTCTTAAGTTCTTGTTTGGTTGAAGAGGAAGACCATTTCACCAAGATTATGGTAGCATACGTTTAAGCACATATCAGTAGATGAGTTCTTCACTAAGTTTTATAAATAAAAGGAGGGAGAGAATTTGAAGAGTCTAAGAAAGCTCATGAATTGATTGGGTAGAATTTAAATCTTGGTTGAGCTTTTGCTTATGATACTTAGTGAAAAAGGATGAGACACAAAACTGATCATGTCAGTGCTTAAACGAGAAGGCGTCTGAACATTGATAGAAGAAAGGAGAAGAAGGCTGGAACTGAATTAGTGTGCTTTATTCAAGTTTTATTCAAGTGTGACAAGTCAGCACAAGTCAGAGGGAAGAAGACTCAGTGGCTAGCTGTTCTTGATCATCTTATGGTAGAGAAAGTTGACGAGTTCAGAAATCGAAATCAAACAGAGCTAGATGAAGATTCAACCAACTGGTTTTTCAGGTTTATGGAAGTGGTGGCTGGTCGTGATCGTCGTTGATGGTATAAACCAACAAGATAAAGATGCCAGCGATGATTCCCAATAGTTGCTCTTCAAAGTCTAGGCGTGGAAATGTTTGTGTGTTCCCACTGTGACCTCAAGACACAGAAATGAAGTCGACATCTTTTAAAGTCGAAAAGTGGAGTTTAGCTTTGATGTCTACTTCTTGAAGATTTTGTTTTGCTTCCGCTGCAAGCATTGAAAAGAATTTGACAAATGGTTCTTGACATGAGAAAGAAAGATGAATCAAAGATGAGCCTATGGAATATGGTTCTTAAAGATGTCGCTGGTATCTGTGAAGAAATCAAAGAATGATGAGAAGAAGAAGATTTTGGGTTTCAAGAACAGTTTTTCTTTCTCAGGTTGCTACTTTCTTCTTCAGTTGCTATGGCTACAGACCTCGGATTTGAGCTACGAAAAGTGTTCTAGAAACTTGGGAGCAAGATCTTTCCAATGATATAAAGATCGTCGTCTGGTTCCTTGTAGTTTGATGGGAAATTGCTCCCAAAGTTGCATGCCCACAGGTTTATAACATTTTGGATCTGTCTTGGGAAATCATTGATAACTTGCTAACGTGACAGCATATGTTCATGAAGATTTTGTTAAGATGGGCATTTTTCCATTCGTTGTGGTATACTCGGACTTATATTGCTCCAAGGCTCTACTGAGGACAGTTTTATGGTTTCTTGGAACATGTTGATGGTGGAGTTCTCTAAGGTATCAGACTGTTTCAAGTTGAGGAAGATATGAGTTAAGGTCTTTCAGTCAGGGGAAGAGTGAAGGTGGAGAGGATTTAAACTGCATCATAAAGAGAAAGGCATTGGATCGAGAAGAGTAATGATGGGGAAGAAGAATAAGCTCCATAATGATGAAGAAGAAGTTTGATGCCACTTTGAATCGAGAAGTAACTCAAAGAAAGAGTGATAAAGAAGAATGTTTCAGATTTCAAAGACAGTTTTGGTTCTCAGGGTTGATTCTTTCATCTTCGTTTCTTTGGCTTCAGACCTCGGATTTTAGCTCTGAAAGATGTTCTGAAAACTTGAGAATGAGATTTTCTAAAGGATATAAATATCATCTTCTGGTTTCTTGTGGTTTGATGGGAAATTGCTCTCAAAATTGGCTGCTCGCAGGTTTGTATTGTTTCGGATCTGTCTTGAGAAATTGACCATATCCTTCAAATCGTAAACCCAAATTGTGATCCGTTTTCTCCTGTGGCTTCGTCTGACTATTGTGGAATTTTTCACCCAAATTTATAATTTTCTGGGTTGTTCTGCTACCTCGCTAGTGCTCTGCATCAAAACTGATGAAAAAGGTTCAATTCAAGAGTTCTTCGATTTTGGGAATCAATCCTTTGTGGCTGATTCTAAGTTGTGGCGTTGAAAGCAGAGATCTACTGAGTAATGGAGTTTTGTCATAGCAATACATCAAGATGAGCATGTTTCATACGCTATGTGGTGCTTTGATTTATGTTACTCCGGTGATTCTAGCGAAGGCGTTTTCTGAGTTCTGAGAAACTTTAAATCTGAGATTCTGCTGCAAATAACAAGATTAAGGTTATGAAGATTACTGATCTCTTAGAGATTGTCTCACAGGCAGAGTTTTAGTTGCCTCAAGACAAGAAGCTGTGGAGTAGAATCTTGAAGGCTAGCTTGGAGATCACACTTTTAAGGAACAAATGATCTTGATAGTCACATAAAGAAGGTTGTGTGATTAAAGGGATTAACAAAGATCACCGAAGAAGAGAGAGCTGCAGTCATGGGGGAGAAGAAAGGGAAGAGGAGATATGAACTGCACCATCAATGTCAAAATAAATGATTTTCGGATTAGAGAAGAAAGGAGAAAACAGTTCTGAAATGTCTGATTCAAGGAAACGTTTGGTGAGTTAAATGTAATCTGATCGAGCCGAAACTTGGTGGAAAGGTTCGTGGTATTGCTGTCTTGAGTTTCAACGGTGGGATTGAGATTTTGACGGTTGGTTTGTGTTTTATTCAAGCTTCTTCAACCTGATCCGGGCATAGTTCATTTGAAGTTTCAGATTTGGCCAGTTCTTGTGGAGTTATCAAACGGACGACCAAATAAATTCAGAATGGGATGAAATTTGGCAGAGATATTTGAAACTAGATTCTGGTAAAAGGGTACTAGATTTGGAGGCCAAGAACATAGTTAAATGAAGGCTTTTCCGAGCAGTTAATTTGGAGACTTAAAAGCTACGGGTTGCAAAGATCTCAAGGTTGATTAAATCATTGTGTTAAAAAGGTTCTCAAGAATGTCATTGGATCAGTTGGTGTGAGATAAGCTACAAGGAAAGCTAGCAGAATGGTCTAAGACTGTCAAAGTATCAGAAGTGCAAAGATAAATCAAAGGTTGAGTTGTTCAAAATAGATGGTTCAGAAACTGGGAATTCTCAATGATAAGAAGCATGTATGATTCAAGTTTTCTGCAAGTAATTTAGGAAGCAGTTTGTTCAAAAAGAAGGAGACTAGTAGGCAGATTCTCAAGAAAAACTCGTGCAAGTTACTCAAGTTGAGTTACAGTTTTCAGAGAAAAGTTTTTGCAGGTCAAATTTCAACTAAGATGGACGTCAAAATGAGCTGGTACACTTATGTCAAGTTTAGACGTTCTGTATTTGAGAACAGCTGAAGCAAGAACAAGACAGGTCTCATAAATAGTTTGATGAAAAATAGACTCTCAAGGTTGATAAATGATGAGCAATGAAGAAGAGTCTCAAGCATATCTTGGTTTTGGTTAGAGGATTTTTCAAGAAGTATTAACCATGAGTTTAACGATGTGAAGCTCTATGTACGCATTGAAGGATCTTCACAGAGTTTTTAACTTAGTTATGCACTCAAGCAGGGGGAGATAAAGAGAGTTACTCTGGTTATGAGGAAATGAGTTGAAGATTGTTTTTGATTTGATTGAAGCTTGACTTAAAGAATAGAGTGCTTGAGTATCAAACTAAGTTAAAAAGGGGGAGAATGAAGATGTGAGATCTTTTGAGTCGAATAGATGACGAAACATGAAGCATTGAGTGTGTGCTTGGGTTCTAAAACGCCCTCATCAAGAGGGAGATTGTTATTATTGTGTTGACTAGTTTCTAGAAGGTGCTTGGATTATAAAACTCAATCATCAAGGGAGAGATTGAAGATGTTGTGTTGACTGAGTTTTATAATCCATCTAAAATGTCATGAGATTGATGAATTGAGGAAGTGACTGTGATTGACACAAACCAGAGAATATATGGTGTTGAATCAAGAAACCAGCAGTCTGATATATCAAAGGATGTATCTGATGTCTGACATAGTTCTTGAACTAGTTCCGACATTAATACAGGAAGCTGAGTTGTGACACTGCTTTGAAGAGTTGGAGTACAGAAGTTTGGGGACGACTTGGACAAGCCAAGAGATGTCTGCTGAGCTGGATAAACATCTTGAATAGTATATTCAAGATGAGAACGTGAAGACAAAGTTTCCTTGTCCATAAAGAAAAAGGAAATTTGTCAATTCCTATTTTGGTGTAGAATAGGAAATTCCTATTAGTGTAGAATAGGAAAATTGTCAACTCTAGGGTTGAGCAATTGTTATAAATACCAAGAGGGCGCTTCATGAAGACTTGCGCGCCTCAGGGTATTCTCGAGAGATGCACACAAGGTGTGTGGCGTCGCCCCACCATATATGATGTAAGATCTATTGGTGGTTTATTCATCTAGAAAAGAATGATAGGCATAGTAGTGCTTGATATCATACGCAATTGTAATTGCAATCTTGTTCTAGTGAATTTGTTCTGGACTAGGTCCCGGGGATGTAGGAAAAACCGAACCCCGTTAACAAACTCTTTGTGTCGTTTACTTTATGCTCACACATACTCGTACTTGAACATATACGTACTCGAACAATTAGACTTAGCCACAAATATGCGTTTACAGTGCACATGACCGAGACGGTCCGTCCGAAAAACATCAAGAATATTAGAACCAACACTACTGTCACGGGAAATAAATGGTTTGGTCTCGAAATCTTCTTCAGATTCTCGTTCACTACATAGCTCTGTTGCTGCTCTGTTTCCAAATCTGCTTTCTTTATTTCTATTTCATGCTCTGTTTTTGATTCGGTCTTGAACTTGAAATCATCTAGAACATCCTTCTTCTTGACCTTGAAATCATCTTGAACATCCTTCTTCTGACCTGCCTTCTTTGTCTTGATCATGACAGGGACGCACTCACCGGAGCTAGTAAAGACAAACCGAACAAGAGGTGGTCCATCAGGATCAAGCCTCTTTGCGTAAATGCTCTGTCTTTTCTCATCAAGCTCAGATAGAAGTGCAGAGAACTTGTCAAGTCCTTGATTTGAATAAGGGTTCTTGTTTTCTTTGCTTCCTCTTCTCGATCTCCTCGGTGAGGAAAACGGACTCAACATTTCAATTCAATTCGGTCCAATCTGTTTTCTTTTTCTTACTTGTCCTTTGTGTGTGGAGAGGTTGTGAGAATTTGAGAGCTTGGAGGAATTTGGTTATGGAGGAGTTGTTAGGCAGGATTTAGTATTTGGACAAGAGAGACGGCTTTATTGTTATCATAATGAGACTTGTCTTAAACTAATTGTAAATATTCAGATAAACAAATGGATTGGTGATTTGACCAGATGTCATTAAATGTGATAAATTGATCAGATCACGTATTTTTGACACTTTTTTTGTTCTCTTGGGACGAATAGAAGATAAGTTTCTACCAAATGAAACGTCATCCCCGATGTATTTTGCTGATTGACTTTCTTGCGGAAGAAGCTAGAATTTTTTCCCATGATGGTGTAATCATTTTTTTTGGTTTATCATAAGTAATTGACTAATTGTTAATTTAACTTAATTTTGACTTGGGAAAAAGAAAGACCAAAGTGATTCAACCATAACCATCTAGTCGGAATATTCATTGTAAATTCAAATTTCTGATGGGTTGACAAAATCTGGATTTAAATCCTCCAAGTTATTTTTATACAATGAAAAGAAAAACAGTTATGAGAAGGAAAGTTGGTATAGAAGAAAAAGCTTTTAGCCTGTAAGGCTTTAACCAATAGAAGCAACATATCATGTGTTGACAAAATATGAAGCATATCATGTGATAAATGAATGAGGAGGGTACTAACTAATACTAGTCACCAAAGTATCTTATAGAACTTCATTAAGAAATTGAAAGAAAAACAATACTTGTTTTGTTACGATTTGAAAAGTTAGGTTCGGTGCAAAGGCCTACCTCTTATATGAATCTGGCGGCCTGTGATCATGGTGTGATGATAAATTTTCATATAAAAATGCTTAATTGTTGATATTGTTAGATTTAAACTATATGAGACTACAATTATATGAAAACTTGATTTATCAAAACCCTTGGATTGCATGAGAGGGTTCAAAGTTCTGCAAGAACGCAACAAACAAACAGAGAAACACAGCTCTCTCTCTCTATGTACATATGTTACAGACACACTTAAAGCTTGTACTTAAAAAAAACACAGCTTCCATGGCATCACTACTCGCTTAAACTCCAAGTTATTCTTCATCTTATTTTTTCAAGACTCTATAGACAATATGATGACAATCAGACCTAAGTAGAAGAAGATTTCTGTAAATTACCCGTACAAACAAGACTTGAGCTCAAAGCTCGGTGTTTAAGGTTGAAGCTTGTGGATGATAATGAAGCATCTCATTCCACATCATCTCTCTTATCATCTCCTCTCTCAAATCCTCATCTACATCAAGATCGATAGGAACTTGAGCCGGAGGGTTTGCATTCGGGTCATAAAGAGGTGCCATGTATGGATGCTGGAGCGCTTCAGTGACACTAATTCTCTTAGATGGGTCAAAAACAAGCATTTTCTGAAGAAGGTCGATGGCCAACACATGAGCGCCCGGGTAAAGCCTGGATAAAGACATCCCGGGTGAGTACGGAAGTGATCTAATGAATCTTTTAGCTTTCGGGTTATCTATGAACTCAAGATCTTCTTCTTTTTGGCTTCCGAGAATGTTGACAATGAGTTTAAGCTGGTTAAGACATTCCGTTCCTTGGAATATTGGTTTCCTACCAAGAAGCTCGGCAAAAATGCAACCAACAGACCAAACATCAATGGATGTTCCATAGTTGTCACAACAGAGGAGAAGCTCGGGAGCTCGGTACCAACGAGTCACAACATATTCAGTCATGAACTGACCCTTGGTGTTGCTCGCACGCGCAAGCCCAAAATCGCATATTTTCAAATCACAGTTTGTGTTGACAAGAAGGTTACCGGGTTTCAAATCTCGGTGCAGGATGTTGGCTGAATGAATATACTTGAGCCCTCGAAGCAACTAAACATAAGAACAAAGTAAAGCAAAATTTAAGGAGAAAGCAAAATCTAGACAAAGCTAGAACCAACAACAGATGAGTCATGAGTTGGATCAATCACATACCTGGAACAAGAAGTATTGGCAGTGATCGTTACTTAGAACTTGAGAAGACTTGATAATCTGGTGTAGATCAGTGTCCATTAGCTCATAAACAAGATAAACATCCTTGAAGCTCCTCTTATGAATTGGCATCATGACATCTTTCAAAGCAATGACATTCTCATGTCGAAGATGGCGTAGAAGCTTGAGCTCCCGAAGAGTCCTCAACGCATCGATCCTATTCTCATAAACATTGTGAATCTTCTTGATAGCGACTTTCTCGTTGGTATCAGTGTTAACAGAGGAGCAGACTACACCGTAAGCTCCACGACCAATCGGCTTGATTGGCATGTATTTAGTGTCGATCTCGAACAGAGTTTGCCACATTGAGAAGTAATGCTTCCCTTCGATTCTAATCCCATTAGGAGGATCAACCAGAGTCGCCATTTTTTATTTTTCCTTCTTCATCACAATACACAATCAAGAAATTAATCAAATTGACACACACACACACAATTATCAAATTATTCCACAACTATTTATCAACACTTCTTAATTATTCACTTTTCAAGTAATACCTCAAGAACACAACATCTGAGGTACAATTTACGGGATTGCCCAAAATCAAGAATTTTTTGGTGTGTAAACAGATTGGTCTGTTAGTGAAAAAGGAAAAGATCAAACTTTATCGATTTTGTGATGGAACATAAACGAGTGGAATTAGTGTGAAAAGAGTTTACCGGAGATAGCGGGAAGGAATTCTAACCGGTGATAAGAAATCAGTGACCAACGATGATCGCCGGAGGTTAGATTTGGCCGGAGAGAGAAAGCTGTGAGGTTGGTTTTTCAGAAGGTGGAAAGTGAGAGAGATTTATTTGGTCAACGCTCGGACAGTTGACCTTCTACTTGTTCGTTACTTAGGTAGTCTTTCTTATAATTTGGGCTTAATTGAGCCCAATTATATTGGCAAACAGATTCATGTCTCTATCATCTAAATCAGTTTCGGTAAATAATATCTGTATTTTTTGGTAAATTGATCACCAAACTAGCATCATTCGTTTCTGTCATTTGTGAATATGTGTCCTACTTAATTTATAAAAATAGAAAATGAAGAAAAGTATTTTGAAGTAAAATATATATAAACAGTGACAAATGGACGTTTACAAATATATAAAGTTATTTTTATTTCAACTAAAAATATCGCATCACCATCTTATTTTAAGTTTTTTTTTACTACCACCATGTTATTTTATATTCCATACTTTTCCACAATGATACAGTTTTTGCTTTAACTTTACGTTTCCATAATTCCATCACCATCTTTTCATTTTCCTAAAATTAGCATCTAGAGGAAAATGGGAGAAAAATATAAAATAATTTTTAAAAAAAGTTTTCATTAAGTCAGATATAATATAAGAGAGGGAGGCCCATGCAGACAGAAAGGGAAAGCCCAAAAATCTTAGAAACTGTATAAATATGATAATGAATTGGTTGGAGTCTATTATAGTAACAAATAAAATAACGTTAGGTATTTGTTTGATTAAATAAAAGATGTTAGGTGTCATTATGATCACTCATTCTCTTCAACCAATTATGTCAATACTACAGCTCATCAAAAGCCTTTATGGTAAAGCATGTTTCAGATATTTTCATTATTCATATACACTACAAAACATATATATGTATTTTATAAAAAGAGTGTGTATTTATTTAGAGATTTCCAACTAATTCACCATAACCGATACAGCTTTTAATCATAATCTAAAACCAGACAAAGATTCTTTCCCAGTTGGTTTCCCCTGTTCTATTTTCTTACAGATAGTTATTTGACTATTGAGCATTTTCTTCACTGTTGAGAAAAAATGGTGTAAATGTTAAGCATTGTCAAGCAACTATAAGTACCTGTTTTAGATATAAAATCACTGAGTTGTTTGGAACATATAAGCAAAATATCTAAGAGACAGATATTGACGGGTGTTGTTTACTTCTAGTTCGGGACAGAAATAATTAAGAGACACAAAAAAATGCCGTTGAAACCTTTTTTCTTTTGTAGTACAATTTTTAAATTTTGTTGCTATCGTACAAATTACTTTTTTATTCATCGTCTATCTTGTTTTGTGTATTAGACAATGACAAAAGACAATGCAAGAGTTGTCAGAAAAACCCAATATTCGAATTTGAATCCAAAATTTTAATTATAGCTAATATACTTGCATATACATATTATTTACGGTCAGTAGAATACAAAAATACAAGAATCCCTCTTTTGGGCTCAGTACCCTCTTTTTCGTCTAGAGTATCCTAAGCTAAACGAAAGTAGAGTTTTGAACCGGAAAACACTTTCCCTTTGCTCATTTCATCCTTGTTATTCCAGATTTTAACCTAATCGTTTTCTCTCTCTTCTGGCGGCTGACATTGGTTTCGAATTTGCGTTCTGCTTCTCTTCGATCCTCTTTCGATTCCGTCTGGTTCGTTGGAGTTCTCAGCTGCGGTTAAGGATTTCAGTAGTTCTCCCTTGGATTCTATCGTGGTCTTCTCAATTCCGTTCGCTCACTTGGTTTACACGGAGTTTCTCTCAGTTTCTCAATCTCGATGTCGTCTGCAATGGACAAAGCCATGATGGCCATGTCTCTAGATGAGGAAGATCTTCCGTTTGATATGCCGGATTTACCACAGTACAGCTCTTGTGAAAAGAATATTCTCAGTTTGATCGGACGTCTCCTCAATCCTCAAGCTCAAAGTATGTCAAGTCTTATCCTCAACATGCCTCGGAAGTGGCAGAAGATAGGAAGAGTGAGGGGTGTTGCGCTCTCTTTAGAAAAGTTTCAATTCATCTTCAATTCTGAGCACGATTTGGTGGAAGTGTTGGAGAAAGGGTTTCAGACCTATAATGAATGGGGAATTTTGATGGAAAGGTGGACAGAAACTCCTCCTCCGGATTCGCTCCAGTTCACGCCCTTGTGGGTTCAAATCAGAAATATTCCTTTGAACTACTACACCGAACAAGCCATCACTTGTTTAGGAGATCTTGTTGGTCAGGTTACAGAAGTGGTCTTCGATCCTGCCAAACCACAAAATAAGGAATTTGTAAGGGTAAAGATCAATTTTGATGTCTCTCGACCTCTTAGAAGGACGAAGATCATCAATTTGCCTAATGGTCTCTCAACTTCGGTCTCTTACTTCTATGAGCGAGTTCAGAAACGTTGCTATAGATGTCAGAGACTCACGCATGAGCAAGATGTCTGTCCTCTTCAGATAAAACAGGCTCAAGACCAAATCATTGACAGAAAGCTAGGAAGGAAGGTCGAAAAAGCAAAAGCTCCATTGGTACTAAAACAAGGAGATGCTCTCTTTGGGGTTCTGAAGGAAG